ATATCTGCACTGCTTTGCCTCCTTAAACCTGATAAAGATGTACTCTTCTTTATTTTATTTTGATGTATTGGAATGATAAGATATATTGTCATATGGCTTTATGCTTAATATGATGGAATTAGTCATGACCCCCGTTTGAAATTTTCTCTTAATTCTAACAGCTAAACCAGTGGTTCCCAAACTTTTTAGGTTCAAGGCAACCTTAATATTTCAATATTTTTCCAAGGCGCCCAAAGTCAAAACAATTTTCTAGGTTGTATATATGTACAGCGCTGAGGCACATACTTGGCCCCTGTTCGTCAGAAATGCTTGCCATTCAGATCCAGAACCTAATCTTGGGAAGGGCACTGGTAGATTATTTAAGAAACAATCCAGCCACAATAATCAATACAGCACTTTGTAGTGGTTATGGTGCCAGTAGTGCCCCCCCAGGGTAAGTAGTAAAACTGTTTAAGAACAGTTTGACAACTTACCTGGGATCTGCCGGGATATGGACAGTAGTGTGTGAGGGGTACAAAATGTATGTGTGTGAGTGGTAGAGTGTGTGTCAGGGGTACAGTGTGTGTGTGCCTGTGTGTGTGTGTGTGTGTGTGTGGGGGTTGCAGTGTGTGTGTGTGTGTGAGGGTTGCAGTGTGTTCATGTGAGGGGTGCAGTGTGTACAAGATTGCATTGTGAAGGAAGTAGTGTGTGTGTGTGTGGGGGGGCAGTTTGTGCATGAGTGGTACAGTGTGTGGGTGGCAGGTTGTATGAGGGGAACAGTGTGTGTGAGGATTACAATATGTGTGGAGGGGCAGTGTGTGGGGGGGCAGTGTGTGTGAGGGGCACAATTTGTGTGTATGGAGGGGCTATGTGTGTATGGGAGGTAATGTGTGTGTATGTGGGTAATGTGTGTATGGGTGGTAATTGTGTGTATGAAGGGGAAGTGTGTATGTGTGTGTGTATGGGGCATCAGTGTGTGTGCATGGGGGCAGTGTGTGTATATGGGGGGAAGTGTGTGTGTGTGTATGGGGGGTAGTGCATGTGTATGGGGGAGCAGTGTGTGTGTATGAGCCTGCAGCACACAGTTTGGGAACCACTTAGCTAAACATTGTTGTTTAAATTGTCCACATACCATTAAACCAATGCAAATCTGATAAATCTGAACTATAATAATGAATGAAATGGAGATTTTTGCACAACCTACATTATAACTAAAGCTACTTTTCTTTTCTTTTTTTAATTTCTAATGGTTTTTGTTGTTTTGTTGTTTGCTTGTTTGTCTGCTTTGTTTTCTTTTACTTCTCACCCTCTCTAAATGAGCTTTGCTACCAAAAAATTTACCTGACTCTCTATTTTCCTGATTGCTCTAATTTCCATAAAATACAGAAGGAAAAGCAGAGACCACTTCACAAGAGGCAGAACTTAACTCCTTGACGACCAATGACGGTTCAGGACCGTCATCGGAAAAATCCCCTTGGGGACCGATGACGGTCCTGAACCATCATAACGGTCTGGGGCTACTTACCTGATCGCCGTGGTCGCCCGGCGGTGATCAGCGCTCCTCCCGGTCCAGGGGGACTGCCTGTATGCCCGGGCAGTCTCCCCTCGGCAGATCAGGACCCCGCGGCCATGTGATCACTCGATCACATGACCGCAATAGGTGTCTGTGTATCTGACTGCTGGGGGACTGTCTGTGCTGACAGGCACTCTCCCTGCAAGTAGAAAATCAGAAAAAAAGTTTAAAAATAAAGCAATCAGTGTAAAAAAAATTAAATATGTATATATATATATATATATATATATATGATATATATACATGTATTATATCTATATATAATATATGTATATATATATATATCATATATATATATAATGTCATACTAAGTGTATTTATATTTATATATACGTATATTAATAAAAAAATACACTTTTAATTTAAATTACACACGTATAACAGTCCTGGATATGTTTGCAGCCACACAACTCTCTTGGGCCTTGCAAGATGGTCGTCAAGTAGAGGCTCACTCTCATCCTCCATCTGTGGCGGATGGAGACTCACCAGAACTGCAATCAGAAGACACAGCACATATTCTACTGGAGCTGATGGAGGTCAGAACTTACCTTGCAGGAGAGATGGAGCAAAAGGCACAGGAGGTGAAAGCGGAGATGGTGCCCGGATGTCTGACTTCCATGTCTAAATCATGCAAGACTACTTCAAGCACCTACTTTCTAAGATAACGAAAGGTCACTGGGCAATTGATAGGACCTACAGAGCCCTGCGTGCCAGCAGACGTTATTATCCAATTTCACTATTATGTCACTAAAGAAGCAATCGTTAAGTATAGCAGGGATAACGCATTACAATACCGGGATGCTGTACTCTCTATCTACCCAGACCTTGCCCCAACTACCTTGCAGCGCAGGAAGGAGGGGAAACCATTGGCGGACTTACTAAGGCAACATAAGATTCGCTTTTACCTTTGGGCACCCTTTTAAATTGGTGGCATTTTGGGCTAGTATGGCCCACACTCTGTTACAGGGTCAGATCCAGAACCCTTTCTAGCAGGACTTTCCATCAAGCCACCACCGGGCTTCATGCTGCCTAAAACACCATGATTCAAGTTGTCATCCCTGCCACGGGACTGGTACGAAGAAGGGGAGGACATGGACTCCCACCCATGAACACCCCCCTGAGGTGGTAGACCTGAGCTCTAAGATTATGCAAAGATGGTTGAAAGCTGACCCATGGGCATGTCTATTTTAAGGACCCACAGAGGGCTTACCTAAACATGAACAAAAACTGGTTAACATGGTTAACTTAGCGGCCAGGAGATCTCTAGTACAAAATTAGATAAGCCAAGAGTTACCTACTGTCTCGATGGTCCTCACCAATATTAGGGACAATTGCCTAATGGACAACCTGACATCAATGGTCCACAATACCAGCAAAACTTTCCATAAGGTTTGGGATTTGTGGGAGCAATATGACGTATAAAAGGGCAGGCAACATCCATAGCGGGAGGTAGCCCAGAGGGCAGGAGGCAGGCATGAGTTGGGTTCGCCCGGTGCTTCATACCCTATACTGAATTTCCTAGCTGCAGTAAGTCACTGGGAGAGGGGCTTAGAGCCAAGGGACAGAGGTTTAGGTGAGGGAGGCACATTCACCCACAAAAATTCCACGTAGCAGCCTGTTGGAGACCTGACTCCTCCTTTTGTTCAGATTAATGGGAGACAACAGTGATAGGAGATGGGTCCAGTAGGGCGGGGGTGGCCATAGGGGGGACCCGCCGCTCCACATTTTGGATCTCCTCGGGGGACACCGGTCGGGGTCACCGCTTCTAAGCCCATAAGGAGCCCTGGCCGGTGGACGCTTGGGGTGTCGGGGGGGGGGGTGTGGAGAGGGCTCCCAGGAGACACCGAGAGACACAGTTTACTGGGGAAGTAGCGGAGTGTGAATGAATGTATCACCTTAGGCATGAGCAGGAAAGATTTCTACAAGCAATGTTACAAGTTAACAGTTTGTTTTGCTTAACCTTTTAACATTGTATTTTACACTTTTTGTAAACTGTAAAACCTGTTGACAGTCTATATAAAACTAAGCTTGCCAAAACTCACACTACAGAATGTTATTGTGTTGTGTTACTCTTATACGAATGTGATGCAGCTTTTTCACAAGCCAATGTGTGAATAACATGACTTACATGCTGTCAATTCAAAATTTGTCTGTGTGTTAAAAATGCAAAAAACTCTAACTTTGGCCAGTGTTTGTGGCTACTAAAAAAGACTGAACATACCCCATTTGCAATACCGTGGGTTGTTCTTTTGCAAATGGTATGCCATCATGGGGCTAATTCTCATTTCTGGGCTACCATACGCTCTCAAAGGCAACCTAACCAATCTGACAAATTTCAATAAAAAAAAAAAAGTAAAATCAAGCCTTATTTTTGACCGTGTAACTTTCACAAACACTATAAAACCTCTACAAGTGGGGTACTGTTATACTCAGGAGACTTCACTGAACACAAATATTAGTGTGTCAGAACAGTAAAATGTATCACAGCAATAATATCATCAGTGAAAGTGCCATTTGTGTGTGAAAAATGCAAAAAACGTCACTTTCACTGTCAATATCAACGCTGTGATATGTTTTACTGTTTTGAAACACTAATATTTGTGTTCAGCGAAGTTTTCGGAGTAAAACAGTTCTCCCCATGTACAGGTTTTAGGGTGTCATAGAAAGTTACAGGGTTAAACACAGTGCTAGCAAATTAAATTCTCTGGACTTTCGGCCTGGGTTGGCAGGCAGGTCCCTCAAATTGCAATAATTAAAATTATTTAACTTGGTAAAAATATTACATAATTACGCACGTAGAATTTTAATATATATACATATTTATATATTTGACGTCTACGTGTATATTTATGAAATTATTTATGTAATTATGTATATTTCGGATTATTTTTATTTATTTATACATAGATATATATATCATTACATTCTAAGTGTATTTTGATATAAATATATATATATATATATATATCAAAAATTAGATGCTTGGCACTCTCCGTATTGAAATGAAGATAACTAGCCTGGGTGCAAGATCCTATGCGTCAAAAATATGTAAAGAAAAAAGTTAGGACGCACTCACAGGGCTTAATAAAGATGAAAAAATGTCTATTTTAATAATCCATGTGAAAAGTACAAGTGAAAAGACCCGACAGGGTCGAAACGTCGATTATTTCACTTGTACTTTTCACATGGATTATTAAAATAGACATTTTTTCATCTTTATTAAGCCCTGTGAGTGCGTCCTAACTTTTTTCTTTATATATATATATATATATATATATATATTTATATCAAAATACTGTTAGAATAAAATTACATATATATATATATATATATATAATTTTTTTAATGATTCAAAATAATTTTTACTTTTTGTTATTTTTATTAACATATTATTTATAATTTATAATATATATATATATATATATATATATATATATATATATATATATATATATATATATAATACCAGTAGAGAGCACTCAGGAGTCTTTCAAGGAGCCTTGAAAGACTCCTGAGTGCTCTCTACTGGTATTGTATACAATTTGGTTGGAGACAGCACCGGAGCATTAAAAGACCGGGAGCATTGAGTGCTGGGACCTGGGACGTATATATATATATATATATATATATATATATATATATATATATATACACACAATATATATAGTTATTATATATATATTGTATATATACGTGTGTAATTTAAATTAAAAGTGTATTTTTTTATTAATATACGTATATATAAATATAAACGTTCCCCTCTCTTTTCTGGGGCTTGTTTTGCTCCTGAACCTGTACTGGACATGTTTGAGTCATGGGTAGTCAGCCATGGGCTAATGCTGCTTTAGTTGCAGATGAGCGGAGCTCAGAGACTAAGCGGCCATTAAGGTCGACGGCCAAACCATGCCCCTATTTCACTTTCTAAAGTGAACCTGCGCCATCTTAGTCACTTGGGATTTTTTTTAAACTTAAGCTAGCTGCCAATCAAACATAGCCACAATCCATTAGTAAAATGAATCCAATAGAAGGGTTAACAGCAGACATCATGATCAGAAAAGAACAAAATAAAGACACCCAGGTATAGAAATCTGATGCAAGGAAGAAAATATAATAATTATAAATAAAGGGAAGTGGCAATTGGGGGGAATACAACCATAAAGATATAGCGAATATAACTAAAGGAAACCAAATAATAATTAAAAAAAAGCATTACAGAACCATTTCTTTGTTTCATTTATCCCATGTATTCGTATCTTTTTAACTGTAATTTATACTGAATATTTGACTGTCCAGTAGGGATGTGCATGAGAAAATATTCGGTTCAGTTCGGCATTCCAAAATTCAGGACTTCAGCACTTCAGAACTTTGGCACTTCAACACTTCGGAACTTCAGCACTTCGGGTAAGTGTAGGGTTATTGTTAGGGTAGGGTTAGGGTAGGGGTAGGGTTAAAGGTAGGGTTAAGGGCATTGAACGGAGCCTGTGGCTGACACAAGACAAACTTCTGGATGTCCTGGGACCTCTGGCCAAAATATTAATGTTAGCTGATGAAGCCCTTTCTCAAGAAGCTACACTAGACACTTACATTATTCGGGACTGGGCTCTACGCTCCATTTGCCTGCTGGGCAATGCAAATGTCTCTTTATGTACGGAGCGTAGAAAAGAGGTGCTGCTCCACATGGACGCCAAACTATCAGACCTCGGTTCCAAGGAACTTGGTCCTCTGGCCAAAGGCCTGTTATTTGGAGAGCCCTTTATAAAAGAGCTACACAAACATGTCAACCTCTACACCATGCTTAATAAAGCCCAGTTGAAGAGGGTCTTCCGCCAACACCCACCCGGGTTTTTAACAGGGCTGGCCATCAAAGGGTTCGAACTGTCAGCCGTTTCTGGCCTTCCAGCCACAGAAGATCCCACTCTCCTTCCTTCTTCCTGAGTTATAAACCATGGGGCTTCTACACCGATATTGGATTCTGGAAGAGGAAGTAGAGCAAGAGGTCAAGTCAGACTACCTTCAGGTGAGACATGTTCCTCTATACCTATGTCTTTGTCATGCTGGAAGATTATATCACTGTTTCAACAGGTGGAAAAAACTGTCTTCAGATGCTTGGATCCTAAATACGGTCCAAGGTTATTCCATCAACTTTCACTCTCCACCCCAACAACTGGATAGTCCATCTTATCTGATTGTTTCCCGATTGTTTCGTAGGAACAGCAAGCTCGTTTAACGCAGAGATTCAGTCCCTTCTTGCGAAAAGGGCAATCCAACTCACAGAGGACACAAGGGATTCTTCAGCTCCATTTTCTTGGTCCGCAAGAAGTCGGGGGAGTTCTGCCCAGTCATAAATCTACGACGGTTGAACTCCCTCATGGTCTACAGGCACTTCAAGATGGAAGGCATTCATCTCCTTTGAGACATCCAGCATGCCAGGTGTTTACTCATCTAGATCTGAAGGATGCATATCTGTAGGTCCAAGTAGACCATGAGAGCAGACAGTTCCTCCGTTTCATCTGGAAAGACCAATCCTTCCAGTTCACATGCCTTCCGTTCTGCCTCAACTCAGCCCCTTGGTGCTTCACCAAACTGTTGAAGTCAGTCCCGACACATTTACGGACCAAAGGCATTCGTTATTTCATCTATCTAGACGATCTCTTACTATTCTGCAACGACTTCTCCATATAGCGGTCTCAGACGCAATTTATGATCTCCTTACTCGAGTCATTGGGGTTTGTGGTCAATCGAGAAAAATCAGCTCTGTTTCCATCACACATGGTTCAATTCCTGAGTTTCGAGATAGACGCCTTGAAGTGCGTCCTCCATCTTCCTCAGTCAAAAATCTCAGCAATTCGGAAGGAGCTTCGCCAGACGTATAGACCATATTCCCCTCCGGGCACTAGCACGCATCGTGGGATTGTTATCTGCCTCCATACAGGCAATTTACCCGGGCCCACTACATTATCAAGCTATGCAGCTCTTGAAAGCTTGGTTCCTATGTCACCGGCCCTCATATGATCAAAGGGTCCCCTTCACACCAGACGTCAGAGAGGAACTCCAATGGTGGTTTCTCCACATGTCAGCATGGAACAGCAAGGTGATCTTCGGTCCCACTCCAGACTTCATCGTAGAGTCGGATGCAAGTTTCCATGGATGGGGCATCTCCGGCCCATCAGCTTCCACAGGAGGACCCTGGACATCGTCGGGGTATATATTTCATATCAATTGTCTAGAGTTGATCGCTTGATCATTGGCTATCCGCAGCCGGGCCATACACCTCTCGGATTGTTGCATACTGTTGAGGATGGACAACATATCCGCAACACAACATATCCGCAGTGCAATACATCAACCGCCTGGTCACGAAAGATGTCTACAGTATTTGCTCAAAGCAGAATATCTTCCCGGAGAGACGAATATCACGACAGATTGGTTCTCCAGACATTGGAGGGACATCAGCGACTGGCGGCTCCACCGGTCGGTGTTCCTTCGCATTACTTTCCTGCGAGGTCCATTTGGGAGAGACCTCTGTGTTATGCGCGAGCGTCCAGGTTCTTCAGTTGGCTCCACGATCCGGAATCAACTGCAGTAGACACTTTCCTCCAGGAGTGGCCAGAACACTGAGCCTATGCGTTTCCACCCTTCGCCATGATTCCTAGAGTAATACTGCACATTCAATAACACCCCTTCAGCAGGGCCAACCATGGTTTCTGGACCTCCTTCGGACGTTCCCAGATCTCCTTGCGGATCTTCAGGGCCATCCACACCCTTTGGTACTAGACGATCATCTTAAACTGGTGGTCTGGACTCTCTCCGGGGTACCTGGAACATCAGAGGCCTATGGCAGACAACTCAGAACCTCCTCTGGGATTCCTGGGTGCTGGAACTCGGAGATGCTATCTGTCCCCCTGGAATATTTGGTGCAGTTGGTGTATGCAGTGCAATTCTTATCCCCTCACAGCCCCTCTTCCCGTTATCCTATTTTCTCTCTCAACTTTTTGAACTTGGACATTCATTCTGATCCATTAACTTGGTACGTTCCGCCATTACCGTGGTGCATGATCCCCTAATTTGCAGACTCCTGCGTGGCATCAAATTAGCTTGTCCCCAAGCTCCTAAATATTCTCACCTCTGGGACGTGAATATTGTTCTCCGTTTTCTTCAAGATTGGCCTGAAAATGCACAACTTCGACAGTTATCAGCAAAATTCACCTTGCTATTATGTCTTTTTTTTATTTCTTCACTTAATGCTGACATGAGAACACATAGTGCTTCCCAGTTTGTTAAGTATGGAGCTGCATAGCTTTAGACCAGTCAGAGTGCCCATGATGACCCCTGTCCACTGCCCAAAGCGCCTTGAATGGGGACATGAGTGTTTGGACTATGGAGCAATGGAGGAAAATTGCCTAATCTGCTGAAACATGTTGTATTTTAGATGATTAGGGTGTTTACCTGGAGAAAATATGGCAGCAGGTTGCACTATGAGAAAAAGGCAGGATAGCAGAGGCAGTCTTATGCACTCAGCAGTGTTCTTCTGGGAAAACTTTGGTCCAGGAATTTAAGTGGATGTTACTTTGACATGTACCATCTACCTAGAGATAGTTGCAGTCCAGGTATACCCCTTCAATGCAATGGTGTTCCCTGATTGCAGTGGCCTCTTTTAGGATAATGCATCTTGCCACACTGCAAGAGTTGCTCAGGAATGGTTTGTGGAACATGACAAAGAGTTCAAGGTGTTGCCTTGGCCTCCAAATTCTCTAGATCTAAATCAAATTGAGCATCAGTAGGGTGTCCTGGAACAACAAATCCAATCCATGCAGGCCCCACCCCACACTCTTTTAGGACTTAAAGAATCTGCTGCTAATGGTGGCAGATACCACAGCACATGTTCAGAGGTCTTGTGGAGTCCCTGCCTCAACACATCAGAGCTGTTGTGACAGCACAAGTGAGACTTTTATGATATTAGGCAGGTGGTTTTGATGTTGTATCTGATAAGTTCTATACTGCTTGAAAATGTAGATTTAGTGAACAGCTGACATCCTGGGTGTCTGCCTCTAAAGCACCCTAACAAATAACACATACACTAAAGGACTAAAGTATTGGAGCATAGCTGCTTGGTGTAAGTGGACATATATGGGCATTGCTTTTACATTCTGGTAGCATTTTCAAGAAACTGAATTACTCAAAATGCCAGCATTTTCCTTTTAAATAGCATCTGCTGTATGTGATAGACATATTATTTTAGCTTTCATGATAATATTCCAGGCCTAAATATAAGTTAACAAATACAATACTATTTCTGAAACGTTTTATTTCCGTAACATTTTTCTATTGAATGAATTAATACATGAAAACTTATCTGGGCATTTACACTGTTCTAATATTATTTAATGAAATGAAACTGGTAGTAAAGGATACCTGCAAGCGTGTTATTTTAAAGTTTCTAAATCAGCAAAAAGTAGATGGGACCATAAATGTAATTATGTTCATGGAACACTGCTTATGTGTCCATTTACAAATGGTTATGGGAAGCTGCATCAAAATGTGTTCTA